GGCGTGTGCGTATGAGTGCACACCGAAGACTCTCACCGAAGACATAAAGATTCTGGGCAAACTCAGTAAAGGAGACATGATTGTTCATAAATGCAAATATCATGCCAAGTGCCTGACTGCATTGTAAAAGAGGGCAAGAGCAGCTGAGAAAACCAAACAAACTGATACTGATCAGGAGCGTGTGCTCTCTGGCTTAGCCTTTGTTGAGCTTGCGATGTTCATTGAAGAGACCCGTACAGAGGAAAATATTGCATCAGTCTTCAAGCTAGCTGATTTAACGCACCTCTATGAAGCAAGAATGGAACAGTTTGGTGTACAAATGAGCCAGAGAACTCACACTACGCGGCTGAAGCAGCGAATACTAGCTCACTTCCCAGAAATGAGAGCTTAAACTAAGGGACGAGATGTCTTTCTCGTTTTTGGTAGAGACATGGGAGCTGCGTTGGCCAAAGTCTGTCAGCAGTACAATGACAGTAATGGAATTCACCTTGCCAGGACAGCAAAAATTATCTGCCAACAGCTGTTTGACAAGCGAAAGCCATTTGATGGATCATTCCATGAGGCATGCCAAAAGAACTCAGTTCCTGACACACTGCTTGCATTGGTAGGCATGATACTGGAAAGGTCCAGTATCAAAGATCAAACTCACAGCTCTCTGGCGCCTGCATATCTTGTTATTGCACAATTGCTAAAATACAACAGTGTAAAGCAAGTTACATCAGTCCGGCATGATATTAACCAAGAAACTCCTGTTCCATTGATGTTGCACGCGCAAACTCGCAAGAGAGAGCTTGTTGACAGGTTACATCGCATTGGCCTCACCCTCGTGAAATAATTACGGTAATTAGGGTAAAATATATTTTTGGTTACTGTCTTTAGAAAATCACAAAATGCTCTAATCAAAGGATTGAATCACCTTCTGTTGCTGGTGGCCAATATAGAGCCGTACAATTATGTTATTTCCCTAACTGTTGCCCAGCCTCAGATAAGGGGGAGTTCCTAATGCTTCCTAATCTGAAAATAAGCATCTTGATATGTAGTTGAAATGTGCCAACTTTGATGCTTTTACCGCAAAATGCATAATTGCTTTGGCTATCCGCCCCACTGTATTTGCTTATTAATAACATTAAAGCAATAGTTAGAAAACCTCATATACCTTGTTTTCGTCAAAGACTCGAAAAACTAAAGAGGCAAATCTGGAAGGATCTCCTTGAGGGAAGAACTGCTTATATATTCGGAGGAAGCCCTAAAAAAATAAACAATGAACAAATCACTTGAAGTAAAGCACAGACTGTTCATATATTTACACAAAACCCTCGTAAAGAATTAACAATGAACAAGTAAGGCAAAAACTGGGAAAAACAATAAATAATCTATAAAGTAAGAATTGTTTATCGATAGAGAAATCCTCCAATTATCTTACCTGACCTACCTATTACCAAGATATCAAACAATCCAACATTTTGTTACATACTTCTATTATTTAAGTGTGAAACATTTTTAACAATGAATAAATTAGTTGACATATGTTGGTAATCCAACAAATGCAAAAAACGTGAAATATAAATCTGACAAAACAAAGCGGTTTACGGATTTAGGGTTCTGATTGTGAATGAAACAGTCCATGAATAAAAAATAAACACGCTGAAAAGTTTACAGATATCTTTAGATGTGGGTATAATTATAGAGACCACCAAAAGTTAAGAATATATATATATAAGAAATATACAAAATGTTATGTAAATTTTACTTATTACTTTGTAGAAAAACTACATTACCTGTTCAGTTAATAAACCATCTGGGCAGTCCTTCAAAAACCCTTTATACCTGTATTTAAAAACATAAATGGTCAGTCAAAAACCCTTTATACCTGTATTAAAACATAAACAGTCAGTCAAAAACCCTTTATACCTGTATTTAAAAACATAAACGGTCAGTCAAAAACTCTTTATACCTGCATTAAAACATAAACAGTCAGTCAAAAACCCTTTATACCTGTATTTAAAAACATAAATGGTCAGTCAAAAACCCTTTATACCTGTATTAAAACATAAACATTCCTTCAAAAACCCTTTATACCTGTATTAAAACATAAACAGTCAGTCAAAAACCCTTTATACCTGTATTTAAAAACATAAACAGTCAGTCAAAAACTCTTTATCCAGTTGCATTAACATGTATTTGTTACTTTGTAAATATCGTTTCACCAGTAGTTTCGTTCTCTTAACTTAATGTATCGCTGTGTTGTGTAAACATCATAAGTAACTTTAACCAAGAGAAGCAACTGAATCAAGGCCCTCTCTAGAAAATTAGTAAAACATTTTTATATATCCGCCTTAAGGAAGTCCAGTGATACTGCAATATAAAAAAAAAATGTCTGTTTCCTTCCGCTTGCTTTGATGTAGGATAAATCAACCAAAGGAAAGTTATGTGATCTAACGATATTTATATCTGCTATATATATATATATCAAAACTAAGACTTGTAATCTAACAATATTTAGTAGAAAAGGTACTTATTTATCTGCTATATATATATCAACAACTAAGACTTGTAATCTAACAATATTTAGTAGAAGGGTACTTATTTATCTGCTATATATATATCAACAACTAAGACTTGTAATCTAACAATATTTAGAAGAGAAGTAACTTATTTATCTGCTATATATATATCAACAACTAAAACTTGTAATCTAACAATATTTAAGAGAGAAGTAACTTATTTATCTGCTATATATATCAACAACTAAAACTTGTAATCTAACAATATTTAGAAGAGAAGTAACTTATTTATCTGCTATATATATCAACAACTAAAACTTGTAATCTAACAATATTTAGAAGAGAAGTAACTTATTTATCTGCTATATATATCAACAACTAAAACTTGTAATCTAACAATATTTAAGAGAGAAGTAACTTATTTATCTGCTATATATATCAACAACTAAAACTTGTAATCTAACAATAT